TTTTTTTTTTTTTTTTTACCGTAAGAGCCCAGAGTTCCTCAGTTTCCCCGTCCATGCTGGGGTGGGACAAGTAGGGGTGTGGAGTCAACACCCCTCAAAGCAAAAAGTCATTTGGTACCTGCAAACCTGGAGCTGAAGCAATCCTGTAGGAAGGCCTCCCTTGGGGATTAAGCGTGTGACACTATTTTGAAGGCTTATCTATGGAACCTGTTAAAAATCATAAAAAAAAAAAAAAAAAAAAAAAAAAAAAAAAAAAAAAAAAAAAAAAAAAAAAAAAAAGACACCAAACCACAAACAAACAAACAACTAAGTGCTCAGCAAAAGGCAGCAACAACCACAACAGCATATCTGCAAAAATAGCTGCTGCAGAGGCACGTTCATGCAAAACTCCCCCTGCAAACGGGCTCAGCAAAACCCAGTTCGCTGCACTCCCAGTCTGTTCTAGGGGAGAGGGGAAAGCTTTGCATGCCTGTGGCAGCCCAAAGCTGCACAGAGATGTTTTCTCTTCCTACTTGTGTTTAAATGTATGTAGAGGAAAACAAGACTTGTATCTCGAAAAGAAACCCTGGCAAGCACAAGTCTACTTCCCAGTCCTCACGTTCACCAGAGCTGAAAATACCGTTCAGCCGGTGACCGCCACATCAAGCAGTGTCCCGCGATCCCTCCAGGAAAACATCCCCACTTCAAGAGGTCCAAGTTCAACAGAGAACACCAAATCTCTTGTGGACCCAAGAGTTTTGGCCAGGAATACAAATTTTGGCTTGTTCAGCTACACACCTTTGAGTGAGCCCAATGTCCAGAGCATCAAAGCATGAGCGTTTTATTTAACAGCGTCTCAATCCGAGCATCCAAACCAAACCCTCGGCACCACTGAAAATCTCGGACAGTGGCTGAAATCAGTTTTGCTCTTCATGGAAAACTCTCCTTCTCCTCTCACTTCTGCTCAAGACATAAGTTTACCAAGTTTATTTTATGTTTAAGAGTGACTAACGCCGCTTAACAGGGTTATTAGAGAACAGCCAGTTCACTTGACCATGAGGAATACCCAGAGGAGAGCGCACAGAGGCTTGTCTATACTTGAGAAACTCAGATTACAGCAGGGTGTGCATTCAAAGCGCAGTAGCTCTTCCAGGCTATCTCTGGGCAGATAAGCCATTTGTTGCAATTAAAAATGACTAATTGAGCCTTTTACAGAATGCCACCCAGGACCACGTAACACCCAGTAAAACTGGTGTGATTTTTATGCAAGTTCATATGTCCGAAACAAAAAAGACCGACAGCAGATGTGAGGAACGAGCCTGAGACAGAAGCCCTCAAAACCAAGACCAAAGTGTCAATTTATTATCTTTGTCTTCTTGATGGGGAGAGAATCAAGACCCCAAACTCCTCTTCCCTCCCCATAGACTAGAAAGCAGCATCCCGGTGGAAGCAGATGGACCCTGGCAGACAGACAGACAGCCCAAAGCACAGCTTCCCCGCTCCCCTCGACTCCGTCAGGATCCGTTTTTTTCCCAGGCATCCCCACGAAGCATTCCCTCACCCCTCGCTCGAGTAGCTATTTCTGGCTGGGAAGCACACCCTGACACTGAACAGACTCATCCCTCCAGCCAAACCGAACTCGGAGGGATTTGCAAACTTGCTGGGAAGCCAAAGAACTGTGAAGATGGAGCAAAGGTTTGTTTGATTAAACACAATAGTGGGGAGGCGGGGCAGGAAGCGGAGAACAGGGAAAAACAAATGTTTGAGATTTTATGTAAATACAGCAGTATATTTGCTGATCCAGGTTTACAGAGCCAGGGCTCCTTTACATCGCTTCTTTATTCCTGGGGAAAAGCAGGGGACCACTCCACAGACATTTAGCCCTGCCCCATCTGCTCTTGCCTGAGACATCATCCAGCCTCTCTGCCTCAGTTTCCCCATTGCTGCCTGTTGGGCATCCAGACCCTAGGAAGACTCCTATCACTAACTCCTTATCTGCCAGGCTGCAAGATCCCCAGAAGGCAAGAGACAGGCTGGAGCACTCAGCGTGTTCTTTGCAGTGCTCAGCTCTCCCTTCAGCGAGGGAAGGAGGAGCCCCACTGCAGGCTGATGTCCATCTCTGCACCCTCCTCCCTGGGTTTTACACCCCGTGCTGGCCAGCAGCTCATTCCAGTCTTCCCGCACTGGGAACAGGTTCCTACCCAGAGCAAAGCAGAAGAATGAGGCTGCTCTGTGCTGAGCCACCGGCACAAGGACCCACCGCTCCATCCCTGTGAGCGCTGGGCTCCTTCCGTGGCCTTTACACCCGTCACCCACAGCAGGCAGCTGAAGAGAGCAGTTGTGCTGGATGGAATCCACCTGCTCTTCTCCACGCACCGACGAGCTCAAGACATTCTAAGAGCAGGTCAGGGGCACGAAGCAGCCAAAGCTGCCCAAAGGCAGATCGGGTCTGCTCCCTGCGCTGCAGTGTTTGCAAAACAGTACGTGGCCCCCAGCACCACGTCTTCAGTGTACGACAGCATCTGAAGTGAGGGCTCAGGGCTCGAACCTCTGCTCTGCCCTTGTTTCCAAGCCTTCTTATCGCCCCTTCCAACAGAGATAACCTGCATCACGTTCACCCCAGGGTAGCAAACAAATTGCAACCTGCTGCCATGAGATTGCTCTGAAAAAAAAACATCCCATATTTTGGGAGCTCCCTAACCAGGAGACTCCAAGGCAATCCAGCTATAAGGTGTGGTGGGACAAAAAAAGAAAAAAGAAAAAAAAAAAAAAGGAAGAAAAAAAAACAGATGCCCCCAAAAGTACATATATTTTGGGTTTTCTATTCACCTTTATCCCAGTTGCACTAAAGAAAATTTATCCCCTTTGGCTCCCTTCAGGCTTTTAGCATCCTTTTTAAAGGCCCAGAGCACATTCATGCTGCCAATAAGGAGTGAAGTTTCCAGACAAACGCTGGGAGGAAAAAGGGAGTTGGTATTCTCGGTGTTCAGAACCTGTAGCATTTGACCTAAGCCTTTACCTGGCCCAGAAGAACCAGCATAGCGTGCAGTAGACTAGAAGAGCTCTGTTCACAGATTTCTTGTATCTCTTTCTCCCTAGAGTCACCATCACCAAATGCTCCAGGATCTGACGTGCCCCCGTCCTCTGAAGGGCACGAGGAAGCCACATCATTCCCCTAGCACGCACACTGCTCGGTTTTAACACATCTTGATTATTTCTTTTTTTCTCTGAATACCTGACCCTCTTTTGGCTCAGGCTATAGGAGCCATTTTAAACCTCAGTCGCTCCAGAGGAGAAAAATACTGGAAATACAAATATAAATAAGCCTGCCCTGCCCACAAGATAGAAAAAGTTATAACGTTACATCTCTTACACTGAATTATTGAAACGAGATGTCACTCCTAGATCAGCTGATGCTTTTCCCTGTAAGAAAGTTAAACTCATTTTCAAAGCTTTGCTTACAACATGAGCTGCAAACACTGCAAAGGCAGAAAGGTTGATGCAGCCTCCACCTGCAACAGCAGCTTTCCCAGCTGCTACCCGAAGAAAAGATTTAACTTCTGGAGCTAGGACGTAATATCTGTGAAACACAGTAAACTAGAAACGTGACTAGCCATCACTACATCTTTAAAAACCAACCAGTTTGAACACTGGATGTGTTTTCAAGATGGAGCCCTAATCCTTAGCCGGAATTATCAATCCTTGATACAGTAAAAATAATAAAGCTAAGGCTGACACAACTCACTGAGAACGGACAGAGCTAATTTTAGGAATCTGATGTTAGCACACTTGGGATCTGGGCTCTTTACATTACTCAAGGATCTATTTCCTATTTTCCACCCACATTTCAAAGCAAAACAGAACAGTTCCAGACACAAACAAGCAAACTCTGCTCAGGAGCTAGAAAAGCTACGGCCACATGCTTAGAAGAAAGGGGGGGTCTGACCCCAGATACACAAGAATACATTTTCTCAGCCACATGGGTTTTCTTGTATAGGAGAACATATTTCTGTTTTCATAAGAAAAAAAAAAAAAAAAACAACAAACTCAGAAGCTGCTCAAGAACAGGGACTACAAAGCAGTGGAAGTTCCCACAAGTGAATTTCAAGAGAGGGAAGACCCCACGTGTTGCTGTGCAAAACAATTCGGGTGCAGAGCACCCATGGGATGACCTCCCCCATCACTCCCAAAGTCCAAAGGAGCCCTGAGTCGGTGCTGGTCCTATCCAGGCAGGGACCGGGGACCTTGGGGAGGCTGCACAGTGTCACCACATCAGGCTCTGCACTCGGGGGAAGATGCAAAAGGAGGAAAAAAAAAAAAAAAATCCTGTCGCCATCTAAACCCACCTGCCAGTCCCTTGGCACCTGGAGGCAAAGGACAGGGGATGCGTGGAGAGGAGAAGCAGGACGAGGTAATATGGGAAAGGACCTGGTTCACCACTGGTTTGGTGGGTGAAGAAAGGATCAGCAGATACTGGGGAAGGGCTCGCTCTAGGATGAAGCCTTGAGCCTCCTAAGAGGGTACAGCGGGGAGCCCCGGGGCACCGCCCTGCCCCAGCCTGGGGAGGGCCCCATCACCTCCTACCTCAGCTGCTCTCCAGCAATCATCACCTCGGCCCTGTAGTGCTGCTCCGTGGCTTTCTTCTTCAGGCTGGAGCTCAGGCTCTCCATGCCGGGCAGGAGGTGGGCAGCGGTGCGGGGATGTGCCCGGGGTAGCCCGCACAGCCCATGGGATGTGGGATGAGAAGATGCTGGTCCCCTGCGCGGTCCCCAGCCTGCCTGGCAAGGTGCAGGTAGGCAGCCTGGAGTTGCTGGCTCCAGCTCCCCGCCTCTCCTTCCCTCTCTGTAGTCTCTGGAGGAGGAGCCTGCTGCAATCTGATCCTGGCTTTGCTGGTTTCTCACCCGCTCGTCCCTGGCCAGGCTTCAGCTGGGAGCCGGGAAGGTGGCAGGTCTGCTCTCCAGCAGGCTGGGGACAGTGTCCTTTCTGCTTCCTCTGTGTAGATGACTCCAGCAGGCTCCGGGCATACGCAGGCTGTAGGATGAGCAGTTCAATTAGCAGTAAGAAGGACAAACACCTCCTGCCTTACGCTGTAACTTTCCGATGAAGGGTTCAGGATGTGCCATTCCCCGACGCGAGCCATGCGGCTTGCCCCCAACCTCTTCCCTGCAGGATTTCCCCCTCTCCCCAGGGTGGGCTGAACTCAACACCATGGCCACGCTTCCCAAAAAGTGGGTACAGAGCAGCCTGAGCATTGTAGCGGCCATCAGAGAGCTTGGATGGAGAAACACAGGCTGATAATTAGCAGGAACTGGCACTGATGAGTCTGGGACTCCGCTGGTGCCGAGCTGTTTGCCTGTATGGTGGTACAAGCTACAGCCTCTAAAAATCCACCTCCAGGCTCTGATATCTGCCTCAGCTACTACCAGTCATTTTTATTATTTGAGATATTTTCTGCAGGCCAGAGCTGACCTGAAAGCAGTAGTGTTCAGCAAGGAAACAGGCAGAGAAACTGGGATGTGGAGATGGTTAATTCCATGCACCATTACCATTGGATGTGTAATTATATTGCCTTTGGTTAAAGCAGGAGTGAAAAATACTGGTTGGCATAAAGGACCAAACCTCAAAAATGCAAAAGAGGGGGGAAACCTCCCAAAAGAGAATGTGGAAATGAGGTTGAAGGAAGGAAATCATATCAGCTAAGAAGATTCTGCTTCAATACGAAGCCTAACAAAGCACTAATAAACTAAGTGCTGTCTGTTAGTTGTTCGTTAGTTAGCTGTCTAATTTAGCTAGACCATCATTAGCAGCAGTTTGTCAGCGAGGAGCTAGTGAGCCAATACCCCCATCAGCACGAGCAGACCCTTCCAGGCTTACATCCCCCCTGCACCATCCTATCACTAAATCGGACAAGCTCCGGTGCGTGTTTCGAGAAGGGCCAAGGCCTGAAATCAAAGGGAGAGCTGTGTGCCTCCTGCCGCGGAGCAGCGGCGAGCTGGCACGTGGCACCAGTCTTGGCAGTCCCCAAGGAGCTCAGTGTCCTAAGCCACGGCTCGCCGCGGGGGCAGGCGGGCAGAGGACCAGCTTTCACAGCCTGCCTGCCCTCCTGCCCGCGCTGCCTGTGCCTCCCCGGGCTCCCTTACCTTTTGCGATTTCTCTCCCAAAAGGAGAGAACGCTTTCTTTTCGTCACCGAGCCCCGAGAAGTGAGGTTTCAGATGATGACCGCTGGGCTCCTGGATCCCTAAGAGATGGATGCTGGAACATTTCAGAGAGGAGGACAGATGCTTCGTAAGCTCGTCAGAGCCCAGGCTGGGGTGCGGAGCCCAGTAACACCCAGCTGTTGATACCATCACTGACAAGCACTGCTAATCCTTGCCGAGTCAGGGGGTATTTTCATACCATCCCAAGAGACCCAGCTCTTGTGCCAGCTGTAGGTGCCGAGGCACACCTTTGCGAGGGCGGAGCACACGGCCTGCAGCTCGCTCCTCGCGGTGCAGTTTGCAGAATCACTTGGCCGAGGGCTGTAGGTGCTGCTGCTGATTTCCCCATCTGGCAGCCACCTTCTCCCTGCTTGGACGGCTGCAAACTTGGTTGACTGCATCAGATACCCACTAGGTTTTCTGCCCCGTAACAGAGCCCAGCATCAGGCTTTCACCGGTTTGCACGAGTTGTTCCACCACATCCGTATCCTTTCCATTGACCTGGGCGAGGGGACAAAGCCCTGACACCGTGAGATACCAGTGCTCCTGTGCAAGCACTGCCCATCTCCAGACAGACAGGTACAAAGCACAGTCCGAGCAGAGGGTGGGGGAAGATGTTTCTGCATATGGGGGCAGAGCACAGAGGAATGGGTGACACAGGGTAAGGGCACCGCTGTAGCTGGAGGTACACTGGTCCTCACAGAATCATTCAGGTTGGAAAAGCCCATCGGGATCGAGTCCAACCCTCAGCCCAACTCTACAAAGTTCTCCCCTGCCCCACATCCCCCAACATCTCATCTAAACGACCCTTAAACCCCCCCAGGGATGGGGACTCCCCCCTCCCCGGGCAGCCTGTTCCACTCTCTGACCACTCTGTCTGGGAAACATTTTCTCCTCCTGCCCAGCCTGACCCTCCCCTGTTGCAGTTTCCAGCCGTTCCCTCTTGTCCTGTCCCTGATCCCCCGGGAGCAGAGCCCAGCCCCGGCCTCTCTGCAATGTCCTGTCAGGAGCTGCAGAGAGGGATGAGGGCTCCCCTCAGCCTCCTCCTCCTCACCCTGAACACTCCCAGCTCCTTCCCTGGCTCCTCACAGGATTTATTCTCCAGGCCCTTCCCCAGCCTCGTTGCCCTCCCCTGCCCTCGCTCCAGCCCCTCGAGACCTCTCTCGGATTGAGGTGCCCAAACCTGGACCCAACCCTCCAGGTGTGGCCTCACCAGTGCAGAGCACAGGGGGACTGTCACCTCCCTGCTTCTGCTGGCCCCACTATCCTTCCCCCGGCAGCATCACCGCCGGCTCTCTGCTGATGAAGGAGCAGCAGAGGTGTAGCTGGTGGGGCTAAACAACCCTCAGTGCTCCTGTCCAAGTCAAACAGGCGCTGCAGCCCGGCTGCGTGGAGAGCAGCAGCGATGGGCTGCACCAACAAGGCTCCTTCTATCCGGGCTCTGCCGGATCACGCCAGGCCATAAACGCAGGCAAACAGGCTCCCCTTGTGCACACTGGCAGCCCTGGGGCAGCTCTCAGAACATCTGGAGTCTGCTCCGCCGTCCTGATGCTGGTGGGTCTGTGCCAGTCTCAGCAAAAGGGCCTTTGAGGGGCTCCCAGGGCAGGCAGGGCTCGTCCCCACCCGCTGCTGCAGCATCCTTCATTCCTAAGGTGAATGTGTGCTGCGGGGAGAGCTCCCCCAAACCTGCCCATCCCATCCCAGACGGGCAGGCGGCTCCTGCTCCCTGCCCGCACACAGCAGGGCCCTGTGTTCCTCCTCAGAGCTGGTGTCCAGCTCTCGCCCATCACTCCCCAGGCCATCCGACCCGCAGAGCCCCCGCAGAGCCACCCCTTCTCCTAGCCCAGGGCTAATTTGGAATTTGCCAAACAACAGCACCTGTAGGCAGCTGCTTTCCCATGCCCACCGCGTGCCCAGGGCTGCTTTCGACGGTAGAAACGGTAGCACAGAGCTAAAAGCAGAATGATCTAAGGTTAATGTCACCTCATTACCAGCATAATGGGTTGAGAGGATTCGCCTGCTGCTCTGGCCGATCCCACGACCGTGTCCTCTCACTGCAGACGTGCACAAGAGACCAGGCGTTCCCCCTTTGCTTTCTTTCTCCATCAGGTATTCTTCACTTCACCCAGGGAGAAACTGCTGCTGTTTTATTCATTGGATATTAAATGTCTTCATCATCATTATCATCATCATCATCATCATCATCATCATAATAAAAGGAGAGACTATTAGACTATTTGACTATTTCCAGTGAAGCTCCAAGCCTAAGAGTGAATATTTTGCTGTTATAGTAACAAGGATTTCAGCTCTTGCCAACTTATTTCATGAAAAACACAAGAGGAGAAAAGCTTATTACTTCCATAAATAACCTTGTAAAATGTACCCTTTAAATTAGACATTAACGTGTCTACTTAAGCCACAAAAACAAGGAAGAGAAGCTACTAAAAATATATTATCTCCCCTTCTCAAGCCCTGGGAGTACTCAGCAGCCGGCGATACCCAGGTCTGCTGAGGACGGTGGATGAGGGGCAGCTAGAGAGACTAAAAACTTCTCATGAGAGGACAGAGGACCGCTGTAAAACTGTAACAGAGAAGGTGACTGTGGAGTAGTTGTTCTCCCAACGAGGACCAGGGCCAAAGCTCATGAAATGAGTCAGCAGTCTTAAAACAAACTACAGGATTATTTTTTTTTTTTCACCTTCACCAGCATAAAATTAAATTGTGCAACTTGTCATTGCTGAATATTAAATATCAAAATCTAATGGATTAAGAAAGGGATTAGGTAAATTCATGCAGGACAGGTCTTGGCACAGGACATGGTAATCCGGATGCTTACTTGTGTCTTCATTGCTGGAAACTACAAGAATGTGTTAGTGGAGAGATTACTCACCACTTCTTATCCTCTTTCCCTGGCATCTGTGACTGGTCCACATGAGAGGAAGGATCCAGGCCTGGAGGAACTTCTGCTCACCATCAGCACAGCAGTCTGGATGTCACAACCTTGGGGGTTTTTACGCCAGTGTTTAGGGGGAAGAGCATCTCATCGGTTCATTAAAGCAAAGTCAGGTGAGCCCCATGCTCACAGCACCCAGCTCTTAATTAACCTCAGGAGTGTCCTGTGCAGATTTGACACCTTTCCCCCAAAGCATTTTGTGTCACTGAAGGGAATAAACTGAGCAAACTGACGCTAACTCCACCCTGGAGGTGACAGCATTTCAGGGCTGGGAAAAACAGTCCCTGGATAGGTCTCCCCGACTTGTGCAGGGTTTAATTAGATCATTAGCTATCAGCTAGATCTACAGATGAAAACTGCTACTCGTGCTATGGCTTTGGAGTCCAAGAGTCACTTCATCTAGGTCTCCTCTCCAGAGGAAATGTAGTGTCTGAATTTTTCTGTTTCAGTAGATTAGTAAGTAGTTTGACTTCTTAAGTGTTCAGAAAAGACAGAGGCACCTTGGGTGCAGTCAGGTATCTTGGTTTTCAGCTCCCTACATTGTTACAACATCAAGTAGAAGTTTTTTTTTTTTTTTTTTTTTTTTTCCTTCTTTTCAAGAAGGGCTGAGAAAAAGACAGGAGTTTCTTTTTAAATTATAAATGCACGATTTAAAAAAAAAAAAAATTAAAACCCCTATTTATAAAGCACACTTGCAGCAGCAAGCCAGGAGTGAGCACAGAGGAGACACTACAATCTGTCACAGTCGTCCTTGTGCCTTAGTCCTTTGAACTGCATCCTCCCCATGGCAGCTCAGGCTCAGCATTTCAAGCGGAGGGCTGCAGAAATCTCCCGTGCTGGGTAGGAGAGCCTGGCAACAGACTGAGATTCAGCTTTTCCC